ATATATAATTTAATCCCATTTTTGTAAATATATACTTATGCAGATAAAATCTTCTAGAAGGATAACACACCAAAATTTTTGCTACAATGTCTCTGAGTAGTGAGGCTTTAGGTGTTTTTTATATTCTGATAGTGCTTACCTCAACTTTTTGCTTTTATGATAATGAGCATAGATAATTAAAATTTTAAAAATAGGAATGGATTGCTATTAAAAATATTTAGTGACATAGGAAAATGCTTAAGACTTAAAGAAAAAAGATGTAAAACTTATGTATTTTATGATCACAATTTTGTTGAAATATTTTTGTATCTGTGACTGAATTTTGCTTTTGTAGCTCTTTCTCACAAATGTAGAATATCTTCTAAGAAATGGTGGGGGCAGGATGGATAGTATAGTAGCAGAGAGCAGAGATCAGGTTTGTGTAACACAAATAAAAATCATCACTTCCTTAGCGATGGATAAAACTTATCACTTTCTTAGACTCCTTTTGTTTTTTCTTCATTTTCACCACAGCTTAAGAATTGGATTTCTTGACTATTTTCATAAAACAGTGAAGTTTAACCATTGCAAAGGCCCTGCCTCATTTCCTTTCATCCTTCCTAGGAACTCAGCAAATTCAATACTTACTAGGCACTGGGGACATACAATGGCGAACAAGAGACATGGTTCTTGGAACTCACTGTCCACTCAGAAGAGATAGTAAACAGTCACCCCAAAATATATATAATTGCAAATTGCACTAACTACTGTGGAAAAAAAAAAGTAGGATATTATGACAGAGAAAAATGGTGGTGGGGAACAGGGGGGAATCAGCTCAGACAGGGAAGTCAGCAAAGACACGAGGAAGTGACATTTAAAGTCGGCTTTGGGGCCGGCCCTGTGGCGCACTGCTACAGTACGCCGCTTGGGAGTGCGGTGGCGCTCCGAGCCGCTTGTGAGTGCGGTGGCGCTCCAGCTGAGGGTTCGGATCCCACATACAGACCGGTTCCTGCTCACTGGCTGAGCGAGGTGTGGACGCAGCGCCAAGGGTTGCGATCCCGTTGCCGGTCCCGGTCCGGTACGGGTGTGACACTGAGGGTTGTGATCCGTTGCCGGACATGAAAAAAAAAAAAAGGAAAAAAAAAAAAAAAAAAAAAGTCGGCTTTGAAGTATGAGTAGGGGTTTGGGCTGGCCCTGTGGCGCACTCAGGAGAGGGTG